ATTTTCTAAGGGTGGGTGGGTGGGTGGGAGTGGTGAGCAGGTCCCTTCTGTCCTGTAAAGCGCCCACAACGGGCTGAGAGCTCCTGGTGAGCAGGATGTATTTTTGAAGCAGAGGGGATGTGAGACCTTCTACAACAGTAGCTTTGAACCAGCTTTCTGTTTATAGCTGGTATATGCTCAGGGAAGTAGAGAGTTTCCGAGGGTGTTAGTGTCCTTTTTATGTACGCAGTTTTTCAAAGATTACAGAGATTTACACCCCACAGCATCATCTGCTGAGCTGCTGCTGCACGGTCAACACTCACCAGGCCTGATAAAAAGGTGGAAGGGGGTTGTGTTTTTCCTTGAGAAATCGAATGACTTTATAATTACCTGGTTGAGATGTGCTGACCGAATTGGTTCCCTGGCTCTTCTACAGGAAATAAATCACTGCCCATAAAAGCCTGGTAGAAATATAGTGAGCTGCAAAATACCGAGGGTGGCAAAGACCTCAGTCTGGAACATTTGTCTTGGCTGGCATTAAAAGCCTTACTAAAAGCAAAAATAATATGGACTAGGTGAATCATCAGCTGTCAGTCTCTTGTGCACCAAACAATTCTTTGCCCAAACTTGCTGCAGAGCAAGACAAGGCAGGGACATCTCAGTCATAGGGTGAAAGTTTTCACGCTCCTTAAATAGGCTGTTTCTAGTCTTGGTGTCTACGTCACCCTCACAACGGGTTTTTCAGACTATTTCTTCTATTTCTTGGGATGGGAGCAGGCACACCTGGCACGGGAGGCCTAATTATTAGCCCTTCCTCACTGCTAACAGGTGGAAGCTGTTGTTCCTCTGTCCATTGCGTGCCTTTAGTTTCACCCTGCAGTAATTTGTGAGTAATTCTCAGCATGCCCTGAAAATGCTGCGATGTTTTTCTTTTCCCCAGAGTGCACCTTCATCGTGCTGGACACGCAGCGGCGGTCGGGGCAGGCACAGGAGGATGAGGACTGCATGGTGGGGGATGTCAACCTCTTCCTCACCAACACTGAGGATCCGACTTTGGGCGAGATTGAAATTATGATCGCAGGTCAGGTTCTGCTTCGTGGCTTCCACCTTTGTGGCTAAAGCCAGCTGCAGACAGATGTTAACGTGCAGCAGCTTGTTATTCTCATTGCTTTACCATGGCTCTTCAGCATCCTTTGCTGGTCCAGCTCACAGTCTCTTCTGAAAAGCATCCGGCATGGCAGATTTGGCTGGATAACTGGATCCTGACTTCTGTGGTGCTCTCTTTCAGAGCCCAGCTACCGAGGCAGAGGGTTTGGCAAGGAGGCAACTCTGATGATGATGTCCTATGGTAAGGGTGGCTCAGTTCACAGGAATATACAGTTGGGATATCCCTAGTGATACAGACAGGGCAGTAAGGGATGCATCTGCCCCACAAGTCAGAGTCCTGTGCTTTCATAGATGCGGCAGACGAGCAGGTAATAGAAATGCTTCTCTTTCTGGTTTCTTTTGCAGGAGTGAGAAACCTGGGGATCACCAAATTTGAGGCTAAGATTGGTCTGGAAAACGAAGCCAGTATCTGCATGTTCAAAAAGCTTCATTTTAAGGAGGTGTGGTAACGGCAGCCCATCTCCTACCCAGAGAATGTGAATTTTCGTTTGCCCTGTGACCGGGATTGAGCTGCTTTTCCTCTGTGTGACACAGGTTGCTGTGAACAGTGTTTTCCAAGAGGTGACACTGAGGCTGGATGTCAGTGACCAGGAGAGACGGTGGCTCCTGGAACAGACAAATCACGTGGAAGAGAAGAGCTACGTTGAACTGAAGCTGCCAGCTGGGGTGCCAGAGACCTGACAGACACATCCAGGCACGGGCCTGGTTTCCAGGGAGGAGCTGGATGCTGCTGCGAGGTCTGGCTGTGGAGGACACCAATGAGCCAACGCTGCACTTAACTGTTCTCATCTGTCTCCTTTGGGTACTTTGTCATCATGTCAACTTCGCACCTTGTTGCATCAGCCAGGAATACTGCCTGAAATTTGGACCTGGAGAGCGGCCACTAATTCACAGGCTTGACCAGGAATGACTGTAACCTTAACATGCTGTTCCAGCAGAGCCTAAAATCACCAGCAATTAATTGATTCCTAGTGTGACCAGTTTCTGGACGAGCAGCACCCACTGTTCTTTCTTCCACTGCCCATAGAGCAGGATTCATCAGCTGGACAGAGGCAGTCTCAGTGTGCTGGTAGCTCAGCCTGTCTTCTCTTGAATAAAAACACTGACAAAATTCGGAGGTTTTCCCAGAGCTGTCTGGGAGCAGTGTGGCTCGGCTGCTCGCTTTGGCTGCTGAAAGGGTGGTTAGGAGTTGTAAAGCACAGCAGGGAGTCTTTGAACCCTATTTTCTGGGGTGTGGTGGGCTGCAGGGTCCTGGAGCGAGCAGCTCAGGTGTGGGTCAGCACAACCAAAGGGCAAGTGATGAAAATTATTGATATCAGCCAACTGAGAGTAGAGCAGAGCCTCACCACGGAGGCTGTGTCACGGGGGAACTGGCAGCTGCTGAGACAAAACCCCACGCGGAGTTTCGGGACCGTGCTTTGGCCCGTTGCTGCCTGTTAACGAGCGCGGAGCTGGAAACCTCAGGCCATCAGTGAAAGGGATATTGCACCTTGTTTGACCAGGCTGCTTTTATGAAAGCAAGGAGGAGGAGAACACAACTGAGAGGAGATACAGCAGCGATCCCTGTCTTGGAGGAGCTCAGGACTTGCTCTGCTGAGCCTGGAGGCTGCTTTCGCCGCTCTTCGGTAGGATGAACGCGGAGGGGGATAGAAATCTTCCTGGGGACAGATATATTGAGGGGAGGAGTTGGCCAGCCCGCTTCCACCGTGGTGTTGATGAGATCTATCGCTGAAGAAGAGGGACTTGCCTGACTCCCACTGGACAGAGCGTTCAATGCAGTTGTTCAGCCTGACCTCTCCTGCCCCAGGCAGCGTGCTCTCCACAGCGGGGCAGCTCGCTGAGAGGAGAGGACAGAAGGTAAGGAGGATAACTGACGCTCCTGCATGTTTTCCCACCACAATAGCAGCTGTAACAGCAGCTAATTCTAGACCAGAAATTATTTGTTCCAATTGCAAAGTGTCAGGTAATAGCTTTCAGCTTTGCCCAGGGGGGTTTTTATTGGAGACTGGTAGGCTGTGGAATTTTTAGTGTTGCTGTGCCCGTATTTTTAGGGCCTGGGGGTTTTAGTTTTCCAATTTTAGTTCATTTAAATGCATTCTTCCTGTGACTAATATTAAAGCCAAGTGTGGGAACAGCGTTTTATCATGGTATTTTAAACAACAAGCTTTTAGTGTGGATTTAGTTGTAGCGAAAGCTTCGTGCGGTAATGAAGCGAAGAGCGGCTCTGCTTCCAGCAGGGATTACCATGACGAGGGTTACTAATCCCTGTGCTCTTCGTCACCTGCTGCAGGCGGGGATGGATTTTGTCCCCCAGAATGAGATTTGCAGAACCCGACGGGTAAATTGCTCCTTCTGTGGAGCTTTTCACCCCTCTGCCAGTGGAGCGAGGTCAGGCTGGCAGGAGAGATGCAGCCGGGGTGGGGTTTGCTCCTCTAAAAAGTGACCAAGGTGGGGAAAAATAATTTCTTTTAACCTCTGCCAGGGCTGAGGGGGGCACAGTGAATCTGTGCAGCCCTCCCCAGCCCTGCCATGGCTCCCCGTGCCCGGCTGGTTGCTCTGGAGCTGGCGAGCTCCTGGCTTGGCATCCCCAGTCCCCCGGCAACGCCAGCGTGCTCCCCCGCCTCCGCGGGCGGCTAGGAAAAGCCTTCGCCCTGGCAACCTGAAACAAAGTTGGGTCTGTCCCGGAGCCACAGCCCTCCCCCAGGGCTGGGAGGGGAAACCCGGCAGGGCTCAACCACAGGGAACCAGTCCCCAGGCTCCAACCAGGCAAAAAGGCAAAATATGTGGCTGGGACTGGCTGGGTACCCCCACTCCTGCCCCACATGGGCAGCCCCAGCTCATGGCATCGCCCTCCGTCCCAGGCAGGGACATCCTGCTGTCCCCAAAGGGGTGAGGGTGGGAAAGGAGGGGACAGGGGCTCAGAGACACCCTGCTGTTCCCAAAGGGGTAGTGGTGGGAAAGGAGGGGACAGGGACTTACCTCTGCCCTCCAGTGCTGCTGCAAAGGACACCACTTCCAAGGATGAGGCAGGTTGCAATGAGCTCCCTCTGCTTCCAGAGGGAGAGTGACATGTGTGTCCCCCGCAGAGCTTGTGGCACTTTTCACTTGGGCATCATTTGAGCTGCAGACCTCTGTGACCACTCATCTGCTCGGGTAGAGGGGCTTGTCTGGAGGCTTGGAGCACAAGACAAAGAGTGTGCAGGAGCAAAGATGCTGGGCAGAGGCCGGGGCTTCAGGTCCACGGCCACTGCTGAGAGCACAGCCCTGCCTTGTCCCTGGAAACCACCATCCCACCCTCCCTGGTACAGCTATGGTACCACCAGCCTGGCCCTGCCAAGCCCCCCAGGCACAGTGTGCCCCCACACTCGCCCGCTGTGGCAGCAGGGCTTAGCTTGGCCATGAATAAACTGCCCTGGATGGGCTTAAAAATAGCCCTGGGAAGTGGGCAGGGTGGCAGAGCCCTGGGGACATCTTGGCCCCACCGTGCTGGGTCCCCAGCCCCTTCCAGCCCTGGCACCACCACCAACCCCACTCTGAAACACCTCTCTGCCCAAGAGGGGCTGGGGGTAGATTTGGGCTGCCCCCAGCAGATCTGCTGCCCTCCAACCAGGCCAGCAGACACAGATTAGAGCCTCACATCACACGCACCCACCCGCGCTCCCCAGGGGATTAGAGCCCTTTAATCACCCCAAGGCATTAATTCTCCCCACCTCCCCCCCAAGCCTGGCCACACAGGGTGCTGAGGGAGCACCCAAACCAGCCCCAGTGTCCCACCACCACCACTGGAGTGTTGCCCACCTCTTTCCCCAGCCCCGGCAGCACGGTGAGCCCCCAGCGAGCCCCCCCTCCCTCAGGCTTTGGAAGGATTTAGCCTTAAAGCGGACACGTGAAGTCAGGAAGGTTTATTCCAGTAAACAGAATTTCTCTTGAGCCAGACAGTATGAACAACACCCGATCGCGAAACACAGAAACAAAACATTCACAGGAAGAATTTCCACAAAATACATTTTAAAAAAAAAAAAAAATAGACTGTGTGATTGGAAAACTCTTATTTTGGAGAAAAAAAAAAAAGCAGTCTATTGAGAAGCCTTTAAATTAAACAGTGTCGGATTCAAACCCTGATCAGCTCTGTGTCCAGGAGTGAGTGGGAGCAAAGGAGATAATTATTGCTTGCTGCGCTGGCTCCGGACACCTTCTCCTCTCCCAGAACAGCCCCAGGGGCTGGGGGCTCCCCTGTCCCTCCTTGTACCCCCCCCAGGACCCAAGGGGTGAAGGGACAGGAGCGTGGACGGAGCTTGCCAGGTTGGGCTCAAACACCCCAGGGAGGAATCGCTGTGTTTGGTGGCCGGGCAGGTGGGGGTTGCTAAAATTCACTAAAACATGTTTTGCAGTTAAAGGGCAATTTGGGGGGAGGAGGGAGGGAGCTCAAATAGAGATGTGGTTTGGGGTGGGGGAAGAACCAAGGAACGAAAGATCCACCCTCAAACCCCTGTTTGTGCCTAGGGGGGGTGTGCAGGGCTTCAAGGCAGGGCTGGAAGAGCACCCCGGGGATGGGCTCATGGCTGGGGGCAGCCCCCCCTGCCCCCCAGCTCTCTCTAGCTTAAAACCAGTGCCCAGGACCCTGCTGCAGGAATGCCTGCTGGCCACCGAGCCCCAGCCCTCGGGTCAGAGCGGTGGGGAGCAGCCCCACATCCCCACCGGAGATGGTGGGGAGGAGGGGGGATGCAGGAGAGGAGGGAGTGAAGCTGGAGGGGGGGGAGGGTTGATGGACCCCCACCCCAGAGCCTTCACAGGTTGCTGAACAGTTCGTTTTTCTTGCTCCAGTCCATCTGAGGTGCCCGCTTGTTGCTGCGCTTCTGGTGCGCCCGCTCCTTGGCCACCGCCAGCGGGATGTCGAGGTCCAGGATGGAGCCGGGCGCTGAATGGCGCTTGTCAACCTCCCGCGTGTCGGGCTGGGGGGCGAGAGGCTACGTCACCCTCACTGTGGTCCCCTCCCCAC